GTGCACAGTGTCGCTTTCTGTATGGTAGTCAACATCTTGCGTCAAAACTTCAGGTGTGAATGGACTATGTATAATTTAGACCATGGAACTAATTTTTGTGGTAGCTTTCTTTTGCGGGAACAGTTTTTGCGCCGGATCAATCCGCGAGAATTAATTACCGCATGTAGTAATATCATAAGTGAATGACAGAAAATAAAGTCTTCAAAATTGCGTGGCTTTTGAATAATTTGGAGCTGTTTTCGAAGTCTCGCAAACCTTTTCGATGTGTCAAATTTTCCGGTGTTTTTTGCCTTGACCAGTCCGACCCCTAACGAAGTCTCAGATTTCGCCAGTTTCCACCCTTGTCCCTTAACAGTGCTATGGATTATTTCAATAGGGGAAGGTTTTGAAGTTTTAATAGAAGTTGAGGAACCAGCTCAATTCAGTCACTACTAAATAATTTATTCGTTTCATTTAATACTGCAAAGAGGAATTGCGTCATTTGAGGTGTCATTTGGTGTTTTGTTAACAACAAAATATTGCTTTTCATAACTTACAAATTTATTACTAAATTAATTATGCACATGGTAATTTGTAGTTATCTTCATTTAACAGCATTATAGTATTCAGCGAGGCGCAGCTGCGCGCAGGCCAGTTTAAATTCAGATAAAAGCAACTGTGAGCGAATTAGAAAGTTAAAAGGAGACATCGTTTATTGCAATTCTAAATTTAGCAGACCTGGCAGAACATGCCCTGTAACCAGAAGAAATGTTGCTACAACGAAACAGAGATGAACGGTACCTCTAAACTTTGTCTTGAAGGCCGCAGTTTGACAAAGACTGAGTCTATTATCATGATAAAATGTCATGTGATTTTGGCCGTCGCAGCCCTTTTTTGCAGCTACCTCATGCGCCGGGCGTTCCACAAATTTCACAGTCTTCGAACTGCGTCAAACGTAATCTTGGCGAGTTTGTTCATTGCTGATGGATTGCTGACCATCCCGTCCGTCGTAGACATCTTACACTTGAATCTCTTCTTAAGAGATGAGCTTTCTTTGGTCTTGCATTCTGAGAAACATAAGCTCACGTTCCAGATTCCTTCTCCTTTCAGTTGTCATTCGTCACCTCGCCTTAATCAGTTTGGAACGGTCCATCGCCGTGAGGTTCTCCTTATGATACCACATCATAGTAACCGATCGCCGCGCACTGATCGTTTCTATCGCCACGTGGCTGTGGGCTGCCGCCGTTATGATCGTTTTCCTACAGGTACTTAAAGCATCCATCGACGATTTCGAACAGTTACGCCAGGCGATGAATCCGTGCAGTAAGACCCCTGAAGGACCCCCAAATCGTGACATGCCTCCTTTAATTAAAGGATATCTCATATTCTTGTTGATAACACTGTTGGTTATCACTAGTTATCATCTCATGGTCCTACCCCTACATCTTCATCATGTCTCTTAAGCACGGAAGACAGATCAGAGAACAAGCTGACATCTCAGGATTGCTGCAACGAATCAAGTATGAAATGAAAGCCACCCGCACTCTCGCCGTGGTGATAGCAGTATGCTCTCAGTATCATACCGTAGTTGGTTGTGACATGCCTTCGCGATCGCTTTTTCGGGAAGCTGTCCGAGTGTGGCCACCCAGGACGTAGGCCTTATAAGTTTATCGTTTACGACGTGGCAACTCGCTTGAACGCTATCTGCAATCCTCTTATTTACGGATGAAAAAATAAAGAATTCAGACGAGCTTTTGTGAAAGTGCTGAATTGCGCTTAGAACGTTTACATTCCTACGCAGTCCTAGGAGGAAAGTGAAAACTTTTGTTGCTATGAAAAGCATTTCTGACTGACAAAACGTGTACATGTAGATACGTTAGTAAAGTAAAATAGTAGGTAGCTTATTTTAACACGTACTACCTAAAAGCTGAAAAACTCGTTCGAACGTGCGCGTCAGTGCAATATTTCTAGGGGTTCCAAAAGGAAATTTAAGTGCTGCGAGCAGATCAGCCTCAGTAACACGCGTTATATTCCATGTATCTTCTCAGTTTGGTCCGATTTTATGTGTTAATATATGTTTACGAGAGTATCGTCCGACGTCTTATTTAGATCACAATTTCTCGCTCCTTTTGTAAATGGCCTAATTCGTCGAAAAAAAGCACTAAATAAGAAAAAACCATATCAATTTATCCAAAAAATCGATAAATAAAGTTAGAAGTGAATGGAGTACAGCAAATGTTGAGCAAGCGTTGCAATTGTCAGTTGTTTCGTTGAACGTCACGAAAGCAAGGCAAAATGTCCTACTTACATCTGGTGAGGTTTTAACTACTATCTAAAAAGACTACCGAAAAGTTATAACGATAATGCCTCAATATGTGCGGTCGACTTTAGGGGAACGCAACTCCTATTCTTGGGAGACCTGTGGTACTTGGTCATCCTGGGATAGCCAGTGTAGAAAACACTCTCGTACAGTTTGAATTCGACTTTTACTTCTCGATTCACTAGAACAATTACAGCAAAAAAAGAAAATACAGAATTAATAAACGCGGACCGAAAGCCTTACAAAAAACGATAACTTAAAGTACAACAAATGACTAAGAAATTAAAACGAGCAAAATTATAGGAAAAACTATACTTACAAGATCTGTACGGCAACTCCGGATACAACTAAGCGACTGATTTGCATGAACCACAAAATAAAACTTTATACTAAACTGGACTGAAAATAATGAACCTAACGAACTTACAAAAATAACAATGACGATTACGTAACGCAACGCCGAGACTAGAATACAGAAAGAATACGCATATGAAAAAAGGCTAACAAAAGACTACTCCAAGCGCGATAACAAAGGCACTAATTAAACTAACTTTACGCAACGCAAAACATGAAAAAATAAAGAACAGGAAAAAACTCGCAGTCTCTCGTGGCTACAGCCAGGTTGACCTTTTCATGAAGATTTTTCGTCGTTCGTCTGCATTTTCGATCCGTGTACTCGTATATAATGCTTAATCGACGTCTGATATCTTGCCAAGCAATTCAAGTTTAATTGGCCTACGCGAACTGAATGAAGGCGAACCTTTCGTTCAATGGCAAAATGTTTTGTACCTTAAGCGATGTTAGGTTCGTTGACATCTATTATCTCGCAAAAACCCTTATATTTATGTTTCTGACGTTATAATGACTAAAAACGCTCGCTTATTGCGAATACTGGACAAACAATACCTTCCTCGTTTATTAATTGTATGTCTAGCCTGTGGTTCTTTGTTTTTGCGGATGGGCAACAGTTTTGTATACCGTAAATGATCTTTTGGACGCCCGGGACGTCTGTTTAATTTTGAAACCCAAGCGGGGGTGTTTGTAGGCCTACTCTGGGACCTTAACTCGCCGCGAGATTGTGCGAGCTAATGCGAGTTAAGGCGAGTTAAGGCGAGATAAGGAAAAATTGAGCTCGCCTATCAGTTGCGAGTTTGTGCGAGTTAAGGTGAGTTAAGGCGAGTTAAGGGAAAATGATCCATCTTATAATATGCTTTAGTAACATACATATAAAGATGCCTTGGAATCTTTGTATGTCTTATATATATAGTAGGCTCCATGTTGTCCAATTACGAAAAAATTAAACCAAAAATTTCAGATGAGCTCCAAAGTTGAATGAAGCCAAATCTTGTTTAAATTTATTAACTGAAATATTTTCCTAATTGGAAAAGCTTAAGTATGGATATGCTAGTGATATGGAGTCCTGTTCTTTATTAATTATATAGCATTTAGACTCCAAACTAGACCATTTGGTGGCTGTATCATAATAATAATCAGTGTCATCATAATCATATATTATTTATTAAAGCTATATAATTATTTGGCAGAGTAATAAATTACCAGTAGTGGGGAAAAAAAATGAAAACAAAACAATCATGAATTGATAAAAAAAA